CTACAACATATCAAAACGCCAGCCGATTTAACCGGGCCCACTTTTCCCATAAGACCGGTCCGTCGTCCTTTGAAATTAGATTTCTGGAAGAAATAATTTTCGACCATTTGAATTTAACCAGCCGCCATTATGACAATTTTGGTTTTTTTTTAAAAATCTAACGTCAAATTCGTTTTTTTCGTATTAAAATACCCCCTAAACCCGAGTTTCAGATAAATCCATCGACAAAAAACTTAGGTTACAATTTTCGGCCATCTTGACCTTTAACCGGCCGCCATTTTGAAACGGTTTGAGATATTGATTTCGGGTTTGCGCGAAAAGTTTCTTTTCTTATGCTCTTGCGAACGCGGTATCACAAGAGGGGTCCTTCCATTTGAAAATAAAAAGTTTGGGTCTATTCCCCCCCCCCCAAGGAGGCCCCCTGAGAATTTTAGGGGGGTCAAAAAGTAGCTCCCTTTGACCTAGGGACGTCCTCCAAGTTTCAAATCTCTACTTCAATTAGGTAAAAAGTTAGATTCGGGGGAGGGGACTTTTCTAACACCCTGCATAATGAGTTTAGCAGTTGAAAGTTACTTATTATCACCTCAAAAGAAGTAAGGATTGTAAAATCTTCGTCAAACTCAGCAATATTTGTTGATGAATTGTTTTGGCCGGCATTTGAGATCAAATACCACAGTGTACACCAGCGCGGTTTCAGAGAGTATGGAAGGTTAGAGGCCCGTCTTCATAGCTACGTTTATGCGAGGCTCAAAATCGAGGTTTCACGAAACCCGAGTTTGTAATGCAAGTTTCCTCCGTCGGGTTTATGCGGGCGCTGTAACCCGACTTTCACGGGAAATAAACTTTCCAATTTTGGTGCTGTTTATGCGCATATTTTCGATTGAACTTGAATTTCATGTTTGCCCCATTTTCACAAGCTATACTTAATTTTTTCACAATGAATTGATTCAATAAAATATTGTTACTCTTTTATCCTGTGTATGTTCTACAATTTTTCGATAATATATAAGCGGAGGCTTCATCTTCACTAGAAAAGCCTTTACTGACTTTCTGAGGAACAGTTGGAAAAATGACAGTGGATGTTTAATCATTTTACGTCCATCTTTAAAAATTGAATGAATACCTAATCTCAATAACCCTCCAAATCATGCTCAAGCATATATTCTGAGTTCAGAAAAGTTGCCATAGGTAATTTTGGTGATGTTAAAAATAATTATGGCAGGCGCAGAAATTCATTATGTTGTTGATTGAGCTTCTAATGATCTTACAATAGGTAGGTAGGCATTGAAAGTGTAGGAGTGCTAATCCATTAAAGCACCGCACCTTCACTCCATGGTGTCATAAAGATGTACGTCTGCCATTATTGTAGTGAAACAAATAAAGAATCGGGAATACTTATAGGAATCCCTCCATCAAAATATGATCAAAATGAGAGGATATTGATAGGTCAACAATGTATTGGTGAAGCAGAAGCGTCTAAATCCTCTTGAGACAAGGGACAGTGACAATCTTGACAAACTGATGACGCTTCACAAATTTTGAATTTCCACATTCCCAGAGACACGCGCTGAAATCCAGTTCCTCACCCCTCTTTCCGACTGATCTCAGAGTCCATGAGTAAGATAGAAAGAAAATAGGCAAGCTACCTACTACTGTTTGCCGTATTTGTTTTTTTTTTCTTAAACTTGATTTTCAAAAGCGACGCATGTAAAGAGCAACTGACACACAAGATTTCAGAACCTGCCATTACATTTCACTAACCTAAGATACAGACCCAACCTTACCATGGATATTCCTTCGCTTAGACTGTATATTATCCTTCCATTGAGATTCGATATGAACTCAATTCAACAATGCTTCTGAATTTAATTATTCGGGTAGATTGGAAAATGGAGCTTTCAGTCTATCTGTAAAGCGCATTTACTAACATTCACTGCTGTCACAAGATATTTTTGAACAGGCACAGTCACTTTCCACAGTTGATGCATCTCTAACGCCAAGGCTCAATTGGACGTATTTCTGTCAAACGGAACTGAGCGCCAATTTGAGTTCCTTTTGAGGATTTTAGAATGCCGGATAGCGCGTTCTGTCAAATGGAACTAAGCGCCATCGAAAAGCATTGCGAGTATAGGACGGAATGAGCCCGACGCCCGGTTGCGCCGCCAATCAAAGCCCTCCTCTACCTCTCTCCCCCTATGGCGCTTAGTTCCGTTCGACAGAAATACGTCCAATTATGACAAGTGGTTCAACGACCAAAAATTGTTACACGCCTCAATAAAAACCATATTCTTATATCAAATTGCAAATCTTGGATCACAGAGCACTCACCAAAAAATCTCCTTCCTTTTGCCTCAGGATAAGGAGGGTGACGATACTTTGGAGCAATAACTTTGAACTAGTTTCAATAAATATGGCCTTAGAATTTGAGTCATCATTTACAAGAGATTAGATCAAAGAAATAAGGCAGCAGGTCATGGTTGTGGCTGGTCTCACACTTTCAGTGTGATAACCACAAAATAGATGCACGGATAACACACAAATTTAAGAGCTACACAGCTCTGATTGCATCAGATTTTAGATTTAATTAGTAGATTGAAATGAAAAACTTCGGTGCACTATCGTGTGGATACAGTAAAAAAGTTCTCTGCAGATGATAAACTTGTAAGGCTATTACTCAATTGTGGCCTGTAAAGTTTTGTGCTTGCTTTGCTTCTGTGCACTGTGTCTTGCCTGTAAAGTTGGTTCGATGAAAAGGAGCATGAGTTCTAGTTAAGACAACACGATAGGCACGCAACAATGCATGTCATCAACTAATAGGTAGGTAAGTGAAAGAAGTAAAAAATGAGCAAATTTTATCCATTTGATAACACATTTCTGTTGATACACACAAACATTCAGAGCTGCAGGGACTAGAATTAAGGGGCTTGGAGGACAAGGCGCATAAGTGCAGTTTTCGCTATTACGAGAAATACATGTTTGAAGTTTCGAAATTACATGGACCCTTGTGGCAGAAAGAAAGATCAAACTGAGTTTTTGATGCTTGAAAATTGGAATTTGCGAGCAAATTTTAACAGCATAGGTATGCATTAAGACTAGTTTTACTTGAAATCATTAATAACACAATTTTTTCAAAATCTGCACTTATACGCCTCGTCCTCCAAGCCCCTCAATTGGAGTTGAGTAAAACCACGACCGTTCGTTCCGTAATTTTAGTCATAAAATGTTGATTAGAGTTACCGAATTTGGGTTTAAGTTAATGTAAAATTCAGCAAGAATAATCTGAAAAAAGCAGTGATAAGCCGAATTCGATCTGACACTAAACATCTTCACTAGAACTAGAGAACAACGTCCTATGTTAAGCTAAATAAGGATAAACAAGCCTGTTTATCCAAGTTTCAAACACAAATTTCGGAAACCTACATTTCGTTGTTTCCACATCGTTGTTGCCGTGATTTGAACCTTGGTTTCAAACTCAGGTTTCGATTGAAGTTAGATTTGTAGCCTCGCATAATCATAGCTAATGCTAAGAAAACAGAAACGCTCGCAGCGCGCTTGCTGGCAACTTAGACAACTACTATTTTTTATTGTTTCCCGGTGACTGGCGGCGGGTATGTTGCTGTCAGACCATCTCCTCGTAGGTAATTTTTCATACATCGTCAGTCCGCAACTCTCGCTTGGCCAATCAGCGCAGTAGTATGGGAATCCCGCTCGCCGCGCACTCTTGCGCCAACGTACGCAACTTCTTGTTTACGGCTCAACTTCTGTTTCAATTCTTCCCTATCCAATTGGGCCTCTAACCTTCTATACACTCTTTGCGGTTTACTCTCGGCTCCTAACTCAACGCTCTGCACCGGCGGCTAACCTCTCTTGTGTCTTTTGTTGCCCTCCTCATCACTACAGAACCCGAGGTACAGGTCCTTGTTCCTGACCATTGACTTATAACACAATCTAGACCGCGCACTAGGCCCGACTTTAGGCGGGGGCGGAGAAGGTAAGACAGCTAGCGGGGTAAATCAGAGTAAAGACGCGTCTTCAGCTTAGTTGATACAGCCGGATATACGAACGAAGTGTACCAGGCAACGGCTAACGGCACTGGCAAGACTGGAATTTCCATTGTCTCGGTACATATTGCCGGAACACTTACTGGGTGTTGCTGGGTTGCCTATCATCTCGCCTGAAAGGACTCTAGTCTCGCCGAAATTTCCTAATGCGCAGTCTAGATTGTATTATACATCAATGTTTCTGACTGAGTGTAAAACATAGGAAACGCAGAACGAGCTGCTTGCTACCTAGCGTCTCGTTCCAGGTTAGAGTCCCTTCATACCCAGAGTTAAGACAACTCGATTATCAGCTGACTGGCAGCCGGCCTTGGCTGGCCATGGAGGCCGAAACGAGTGCACCCAAACGAACGATATTGAGGGATAAGGATCAGGAATCCTGCGATGTCTGTCACACAAAAACAACAACATCGACATATTGATCAATTAAAAAGAAAATGAGATTGGTTTGTGAATAATTTCTTAATCTATTTTCATTTTGGACCGATGGAAATAACAATTTACTCTTGATGAACCACAATTAGGTAATATTTTCATTATTCTTGTTCACATTCGAGGTACCGCCATCTTGGTGCACTCGTTTCGGCATCCATGAGCGAGAACCAATCAGAATTGGATTTTTTTTTAGGCCACTTTCAGCCCAACCAAAAGTGAGTTGTCTTAACTCTGGGTATAAAGGGACTCTATTCCAGGTTTGGGAGCCAGTTACGAAGTAGTGTGGGCGTTGCTGGATTTTTACCACCGCAAGTCGCTGTCGGAAGCGACGAGTCTGATTGATCTGTGTTACTTATTGATGATCATTATTCTTCATTGACTCTCATATTCTTCGTCATAATTCATTTGGTCATATATATTGAAAAAGATTTAATAGGGATATAGATTGAAAAATTATATAAGTGAAAAGGTATCGTCTGGGAGACAGTGAAAGTAAGTGATACTAACCTTGTAACCTAAACTTTCAATATTATCAAAAGAAATCCAGTCCTTATCTTTGAAAGCATACGGTGTTCTGGTGTTGTGATCAAAAACCATTTTCACACCAGGATCACTCAAAAATCGGCAAACTTCATTGTAGCTGGCAAAACCATCATATCCAATGCTACTGCCAAAACCGCATGCTGGTGAGATAAAACCATGATTCAGTGGATTGTACAATCTGTGAAAATGGAGGGAAAATGAGTCAGATGAAAAGAAATAAAATAAAAAATCATTTTATATTTGTGTTATTCAACAACTAGCAACCCATATGTGCTTTGCATTAGGGTGGCCCTCATTTTTGACTTTTTGGAAATTTAAAGTGCGGAACCCTGCAAATGGTTCCATTTGATGAGGAAATAACGGGAAAAAAATAAAAATGGAGAAAAAAAATTTTAAATGGCGCCTTAAAGAGCATAAAGTTGCGAGCGTGGCGTGCGAAGACGCGTTTTCCCGCCATTTCGCAAATTTTTGTCTCCCCTTTTAAATGTTGTTTCATGGTTATTATAAAACCTATTTCACGCTTGTTATATTTCTATGATTAAATGAATTTTATGAGTTGTATAACCTTTCAAATTACGCCTTTCAAACGTCGCTAGTTAACAATGTAAATTTAAAATAAATAAAAAGTAATTTGAAAGGTTATACAACTCATTAAATTCATTTAATTATATTTATACAGGGTTATCCAAAAGTCACCTACCACCCCTGTAACTTTTTTCCTAATTGAGATAGAAGTTTGAAACTTTGGGAATGTTCCTCGGTTTAAGGTTGCAACTTTTTGGTCCCCCCAAAATTTTGGGGGGCGGCCCCCCTTAAGGCGGGCGGGGGCTAACTTTCTTTTTTCTTCAAATAGCAACCCCCTTTTTGTGATACCTCATTCGAAAGATAATAAAAAAGAAAATTTTTGGCGCAAACCGCAGGTCAAAATGTTGATTTTTGACAAAATGGCGGCCGGTCAAAGTTCAAAATGGCGGAAATTTGGCATCTCCGTGTTTTATCCGCGGATTGGTCTGAAACTCAGTATCCTAGGGTTTTCGGGGCGAGAAAAACGATTCTGGCATTAGTTTTCCAGAAATCCATCTCCATTGCTCTTAGCATATCCTGTGTCCGTTTCTTAAGCTGCCAAACTTCACATACGCATGTTAATATACTTATATCCACAGCATTGTACATCCTCCTTTTGTTATCTTTGGAAATCCGCTGATCCCAAAGGATTCCATTTAACATCGCTAAAGCCTTCCTTGCTAAGATGTTCCTTTCCTTGAAAGCTTGATCTATCCTTCCATCCTGGGTCAACCGCACTTCCAAGTACTTATAGTGCTCGCAGCTTTTGATCTGCTGCCCATCCTCCAACTCCATGCTTTGCTGATCACCGCCAAAAGTCGTCTTCTCAGATTTGGATATGCTGACTTCCAACACAACTTCCGATACTCTTCTACTAACTTGCGCATCATGTACTCCGTGTCATCTTGATCTTGAGCAACCACAACCTGGTCATCAGCAAAGCACAGAGTGAACAGAGTTCCAAAATCACCCAAGGGGACACCCATACCAGAACATTTCCTTTCCCATTCCTTTAGGACGCACTCGAGATAAATTTTAAATAATGTTGGCGACAAACAACATCCCTGTTTTAAACCCTTAGTCACATAAAATCCCGCTGACAACCCCCCCATGGCACTTAACTTTGGTAAAACTCCCTTTATAATATCGTTTGACAGCATCAATCGTCCCCCGATTAAAATTCGATTTTTCCAAGGCCTCCCAAAGTTTCACCAACGGCACACTGTCATACGCCTTCTGGAGATCCGCAAAAATTAAATGCAGCTCCTGAGCTACCGCCATTTTTTTCTCAATTACCTGGACAATAACAAAGAGGTGATCTATCTTAAACCTGCCAGCTCTAAAACCAGCCTGCTCCTCTGCTTTGTGATCCTGCCATTCGTCCTCAATCTTCACTTTCAGTATCTTCCCGTACAATTTGCTTATTATCCCGGTCACTGAGAGTCCCCGGTAGTTGTTACAGTCGTCCTTCCTTCTCCTCTTTTTGTAGATGGCTTTGATCCAGGACTCCTTCCACTCTCTTGGTACCTCGTCACTCCTGATGCATTATTGCATCAGTTTTCTGAGGCACTCAAAGAGCTTGGCAGTCCCGTACTTGACCAACTCGACAGGAATCCCACCAGGACCCGGTGCTTTGTCATTAATTAGCTCTTTAACCGCTTTAATTATGTCACAAGTGTGAATCTCCAAGTTGTTCATTCTTCCGTCATAAGATCTTTAAAATGATCCTCCAGTTTGTTAGGTGATATCGGAGAAACGATGTCGCGCTTCATGTCTCTACGTAAACCTTTAATTAACTTCCAGCTCTCAGCACTTTTTCTCCCCCCTAGGTAGGTGTTAATTCTAGAGCAGTTGCTTTCCCAAGCTTCATTCTTCTTCCGTGTTATGAGGCTCCTAACTTCAAACTGAGCTTTCCTGTAAGTAGCTTCATCTTCAGCCTTTTTAGATGACAGAAATATAAGACTTTTTTGCCTCTTGAGATTTATCTTGTCTTCAATTTCTTCATCCCACCAGTAAGGATGCTGGTATTTATTACTGGTTTTGCGAACACCTAGGGCTTCTTTCGCTGCTGAGTGGATACAATCTTTGATGAAATGATATTGCTCTTCCGTGGTACCGGAGAGTCCATCCCCCAACTTCTCATCTAAGCGTTTCCGATACAGAGCCTTGACACTAGGGTGCTCCAAACTTTCGATGTTAAACCATACTTCATGATTTTGCGTTCCCTGTCTCTGCTGTTGCTCAGACATTGGCTCTTTATCTTTAATCCCTTTGATGGGAAACGCTATATCTGCTCGGAGGAAATGATGGTCACTGCCGCAAGGGAGTCCCCTGCACACTCTAGCTTCCTGCAATTTCAACTTAGTAGTGTGCTTTTCAATCACATAATCGATGATGGATTTCAATCCTTGTGTTGGCTGGACCCAGGTATACTTATGGATGTCTAAGTGTTGAAAAAAGCCATTCAAAATTCTCATCTGGAAGAGACGTTTGGACAGTCACCGACGACGGTCACACTAACCAAAGCTCTCCAGAAAGTGGCACTTTCTGAGTGTAATAGTGTGGAATATTTTTTTATTGTATTCCCTGAGATCCGATGAAGTTCTACGTGATTTAAGTGATTTTCTGCGAAGTTTACACTTTTTTCGAAGGAATATATCGGTTTCCTTTGTTTGTAATAACGGCCGTATCACAATATTTTGCGTTGAACGACTTGGTGATAAACTGCTATTTTTGTGTTTTTTCTCGTGTTTTTCGTTTTTTTTTTTTTTGAGGTTCGCTGTGTTATATTTAAGTTTATTTTGACACTTTTTCCCAAAAATTTAATGTTTCATGTCGCTTTTGTAATCGTAGAAGGATCATGCTAATTAAATAATAATTTAATTCTGATGCCCGATGACATCATCCGGCGTGGCGCGAAACTGGGGCGTTTTAAATGTGCAGAAAAGTTGCGCTTTTTCAACTGCGTATTTCTCGGTTATTGAGTTAGTTTTTCGCGTTTTCAATGTGCGCATCGTAATCTACGCGTCATTTACCTTTAGGAAAAGTATTCGCAAGTCAAAATTCGTTCATGGTTTAGTGACCCATTACTCATAGTTTTACTCATGTTGTTTGATATGGAATTTTATCAGCGGGTAGATAATGTTGTTAGTTTCAATTTCTCGGTTATTGAGTTAGTTTTTCGCGTTTTCAATGTGCGCATCGTAATCTACGCGTCATTTACCTTTAGGAAATGTATTCGCAAGTCAAAATTCGTTCATGGTTTAGTGACCCATTACTCATCGTTTTACTCATGTTGTTTGATATGGAATTTTATTGGCGGGTAGATAATGTTGTTAGTCAAGGTCTGCTGATTCATTGGCTCCCTGGCAAACCTTCAAGAGGAACGGACTGATTGGCCTTGGTCAACCCTCATGTATCTTTAAAATTTAAGATGCCTCGAAAGGAAGGAAGACTAAGCAAGACTTGAGGGGGGAACATTTTATTGTTACGACAACAGAAAAAAGTAAAATGGAAACATCATTTCCGAAAATTACATTTTTTGTCAGAGTAACCTTCAAAATCGAGGCAAGGAGTACAATACAGAGGCGGTCTGATTGGTTTTCTCAATGTGCCCTTAGGCAACCCATTTCCTCTTGAATATTCTTCCCTGCTCAAATAGTGAGTGATAGGAAATAACAGACGATACTAAAGGCTTGCAAATTCTACAGGATACAATTATGAGCAATCTCATGATGACTGCTAGTCCTTGTTCCACGCTGTTAGTTTATGCACACAGTAGATGGTTCCACGCATCCAAAATTGGTCATTTGAGGCTGATATTTTTTAGAAAATTAATAAAATTCACACCTAGAGGATTAAACTGGGAAAACACATCCAGGATAGATGCTTCTTGCGCTCAAAAACTTGCAATTGAAAACTGCCCACTTTACATCCAAGTCACTGACAGATGATACTTTTTTGAAAAATCATAAGTTACACTGTTTTCCGCATTTTCAAGAGGCATCAACATTAATAGCCATTCTCCGGAGCTTACTAGATTGATTTCTCAAAAGTTAATCTGCCCCGACTTATACAAGATGATTGATTTTGACATGAGAGAAAGACAAAGCCTTGTAGTCACATCAGATGCCACAGTCTATGACTTCAGTCGAGAAGATTATCCAGGGCAGTGGCCAAGATGCCTGGTAAAGTTAGCTGGAATTCTGGGCACGCAGCTCTTTTTTACTAACTTCATATTTTTGGGTCGTACTAACTCTTGTTTGGAAAGTGCTTGCCATCAGTTTGAGAAAAATTAAGCAAAAATGGCCGAGAGAGGATTTATTTTAAAAAAACAGACTACGCATTGAACAAAACCAATAAATGATTGTTCAAAGTTTTTGAATAGCTGACGTAATTAAGATGAAAACAGTGTATGCACATTTTAGGTTTGCTGGATAAACAAAGGAACAAGCATCATGAACATGCTGCAAATTTACGTTTCCGAGGCGCGTCCTTTAAAGCAGTTTGGCTCACCATGCGCTGCCCGCTCGCGGTGCGCATTCTAAAGCATAAATAAACGCATTGTTCACGATGCTGTAACTCCCTTGTTTTTTGACCAAAGCTAGCATATGCATGAACCATTTTCTTCCAAGTTACTTCAGCTATTTGCAACATTTATTACACCCAGATTTTTTCTTCTTCTTATTTTTTAATTAATGGCCACTCCTTTGAAAAAATTCAAAAAAAAAGGCGTCTTATACCATTGTCTCAAAATGACGGCAAATGCTCGCTTGTTGGGTGTAAGGAAACTTCAGATTCCGAAATAGCGACCAAAAAAATAAAAAAACGAAGTTCATAAAAAACAACTGTGTCCCCAAAATTCCACCTAACCAACTTTTTAGCAACAATACACCTGGACTACAGTGACACGGTCAAAGGAGAAGGTGCACACTTCTATTTTCAAAAGATAACAAGATACTGAGATGATGATTCCCCTCTTAGACCACTATGTTATGTACTTACTTACAGTCCTCATATCACCACTAATCAAGCTATGCAAGACGATGAATGCATACGTGCAAGCATGTGTGTGCCTATTGCTAAATGAGAGAAATGTTGAACTCACTCGTAAGTATGGGCATATGTTGGAACTCCAAGAATAATTTTTTCTTTGGGCATGCCCTCATCAACCCACTTGTGAACCGACCAGTTAGCATTAAGGGTGGCAAAATAGTTGTAATCATTGGCAGCGGCATAAATAGGCGCATTAGGACCAGTAAAAGGCAAGTACGCAGTCCAGTAATGATAATCATAAGCCATTAGATTGATGAAGTCCACAGACCTGAAGTTGGAAAAAAATAGTTGATAAAAGCTAATATGAATTGACAATTGCAATGTAGGTAATACCGCATCAATAACTAAATACATTTTTGCCTTTACTTCATGGCAGTCATGTAGCAGGGGTATATTTCGACGAAAGAAAAAAGAATTTGACGTGATATTTTTAAAAAAAATCAAAATTTTCAAAATGGCGGCTGGTTGAAGTTCAAAATGGCTGAAAATCGTTTTGTTTTGGAAATCTAATTTCAAAGGAGAGGTATCGTTAGAGGCCTTTTTGGGGCCCACCCTGAAATTCCTCAACTCCGCGATTTTTTGGTCATTGAAGGTCTATATTTTACGGAATGCATCATGATTTGGCCATTTTCGATCTATTTCGGGGTCTACCACTGGTCTAAACAAGGGTCTGCAAGCCAATTTTGGCGAAAAATGCGGGGTTTTCGGCACTCGACGCGCTGTTTTGTATCAAATCCTTCGGAGGAGCAAAAAGTTCTTCAAGTGTGTTCATTATGGATGTAAGAGAGTCACTTTGACCAATTTCCATCGATGTCAAACTTTGCGCTCATGGTTAAAAAAAAACTTTTTGGAATTTTCCTTCTTCTCTTCATTATTTAAAATGGCTTAAAAAAGATACTCATCTTTTCGCCAGAATTAAACTTCTTTGGCAGAAAATGGACGTGGGTGGTCATAACCTTCCGCTAAAAACTTTTTTGAATTGGAAGCCCCCCAAAAAAACCGGTGTTGCCATATTTTATTGCCTGGTTTCACGGAAAACCTAGTATTTCAGAATTCGGAGACTGTTCCTCGTTGAGCTCATTCCGCAAGTTCAAAAACCTTTATTTTTCACACGCAGTGGCCACATTACTAGGAACTTTATGCATGTTTTATCTATTCATGTATATATCTCCCGCTATGGCGCAGCGTTGCCACACGTTATTCGTGAAAATCGAGAAAAATTTGCGTTTAGCTGATTCATTTTTTTTCGGATCAAGCATATGGGATAAATATGTGAGAGAGATGCAAGTGGATCATATGTGCCGCCGGTATTAATTTTTCTAAGACCATACACTTACAGACGACCCAATCTCTTGCGAATTCTTGGAATGATATTTGCGCTCAAGGGTGCAACTTCCAAACTTCGACTGCTACCTGACGTCTGAAAATATTGAAGCCATAAATCAGAATCACGAATTCTCAAAGTTGATTCTGCCCCATCCGAACACACCTATTCCCTCCCCCCCTCCTGTTTTTATCAGCAGCAATCGTTCCTCAAAATTTTTCTTCTCAGAAATAATTGAAAATAATTACTTTTTTTTAGTTTTTTTCAAGTTCTCATGTTTTGAAGTTCAGCATAGTTGCAGTATACAACATGAGCGACTGTGCATTGGCAGTCAACGTACCTATCAATATGTTTTCTCTGAAGTGGATGATATTAAACATCACAAGTCTGAGACATGCCATGATATATCCGCACTCATGTAGTTTTACTATGAGATCTAAAGGGAAAAAAATTAGGGAGCCGAATTCTGTACTATTGCTGTTATGAATAATGAGTTGTGGAGGTGCGGGGGGGGGGGGTGTCAGAATCAACCTTGGGAACTTGTGATTTTGATTCATACTTTCCGCTCCCTAGCGGAAAGGGAGCGGAAGGAGAGAGATGAGAATGGAGGCCAGTGGTAGACCCTGAAATAGCTCATAAATGGCCAAACTATGATGCATTCCGTGAGAGGTCCGGTATGGACGAAAAATCATCTAATATTGCATTTTATGATGATTTTAAAGGTCAAAATCCCGAAATCACATTTTAAGGTTAACACATGTGCTTTTTTCCAGTTTTTGGCGCTCCGTAGCGCTATTTTAGAGGCCCACCGAGCGCCGACCGGTCGCTCAGTGAGTATAGAGCTGAAAATTTGAAAAAGTGAATTTTTTGGAAATACCTGTAATTGCTGAACTTAGCGACCCTCAAGGGTCCCTAAAAATGCATTTTGCACGGTTTGAACATTCAAACTGATTTGATAACAGTCTAATCCGGCTTTTTTGCGCGAGAAAATTGGTCGGCGCGCGTTGAGCGAGAAAATTGGTCGGCGCGCGTTGAGCGAGAACTTCAATCGCTCATAACTCCGGAACCGTTTGGTTCCTCAGCTCAATGGACCACTCGTTGGCCGGAAAAATACGAACAATTTAAAGAACTGGTTTTGGTTCGTATAAAAAATTGAGATCTTTGTGAGTTCTTTGTTCAAAAGAAATTTTCTAGACCCAAAAACAGGAAAAAAGCACATGCGTTAACTTAAACATGTGATTTCGGGATTTCAACCATTCAAATCATAAAATATGCAATTTCAGATTGTTTTACGTCCAAACCGGATCTCGATATCTTTCTCCGTTCGAGAGATATCGAGGTTCACAGGTTTTGCTTTCCATCCCCCCTAGCGGCCCACCCTTAAATTTGGGGTTCTGAAAATTTGGGAAAAGAAGCGCTCAAGTAAGAGCAATCAATAGACAAAGTATGAAGAAAATCAAGAGGGGAGGGGGGAGGGGGGCGAAAAAAGCCGTTTTTGCATCAAGCTCTTTGAAAGAACTTTTTTGATAAATTCACTAAAACCATGTTTTTTTTCTTTTTTCAATGCGCCTTGGAAACACTCCCCCAAAATTCCGAACAGTCTGGTTTTGAGCGCGAGCTACTTCGCCTCACCCAACGCTCCCACTGCGCACTGGCTGCGCGCTCAAAACCGGATTTTTCGAAAATTTTGGGGGGAGTTTCCAGGGCGCATTGGAAAAAACGCTTTCCAGCCACAGTGGAAACGTAAGGTAGATTTTGACTGATCGTTTCTATGAAAACAGTTGCGCCTAATGACCCTGGTAGCATCCATTTTTAACGGAAAAATTAAAATTCATTAATCATTACTTAATGCTCATATTAATGATATTAATCATATAATGTTTAAGTAAGGAACAAGTGATGAAGAAGTAATGAGAAAGTAATGTGTAAGAACTAAGAGAATCTTAATTCTTACGTTAATCTATACTTAATAACATAGTGAACATTACATAAACATTACCTAACCAAAAAGCTCTAAGGAAAATAATAATGTCTACGTAATGATTACTTAACGACTAAATGAAGGTTACTTAACGTTTATGTAACGATTACGGCCCAAAAAGCACGAGGTTTTTAGATTTAGTGGTTTAAACTTTACTCAACGATTACTTAAATATATGAATAGAAACATTATCTGATCAAAAAGGTATAACGATAATAATAGTGTTGATGTGACGATTCCTTGATGAAATGAATGTAATGTTACAAAGTATGTGTTGTTGTTTTGTGTTACATAAACACGGAAAAAGAAAGAGTCGGATACATTACCTACCAAACCTGTCCGGTAAATCCCATTTTGGCGAGGAATATCAGGAAGTTATTCATCAAAACAATATTTAGATTTCAAAGTTAAAAAACAAATGCGGAAAATTTACCAAACTCAGATCGTAAAAGAACAACTATTAGAATTTATTGGGAAATAAGTATATTCAACCTGATAAGTACTGAGAGGTAAACTACCCCTTTCCTCTATCATTTTGAACTAGCCCGCTGCAGTTTGAAAGGAACAGCTGTACTGTCACGTGTCACTGTAGGTGAATAGCTGAGATGCGGTCCGCCATTTTTCCTTCCTTTGTCAGTTACAACACGTTGAGGCCGGAGTCCGTGCCTCCAAGCGCTTGACTTTATGGATCCGTATTAATCCATATGAACTCACGCAGAATTTGCTCAAATATGTGTTCAAATCGTCTTTAAAGCCTCCGTCTTCTTTTTGAATCTATCTATCTTGACCTGCCACATATATTTTCTGAGATTTCTTAGTAACAAGTATTGAACACTTTTTGGAGGTTGGGAGTTGCTGCAAGAATCTGGCTGGCGGAATGAGTGAATCATGAAAACTTGAAGTGATATGCCTATGCAAAATTTTCGTATTATTGGGTGAATATCGGTGCTGTGTGAAGTCATCTGGAAAGCGTTAAGAAGCGTTAAATAAATTATCAACTACAAGTGATTAGGAATTGAATATTTCGTTCGTACGAGTACATCTGCTGTTCATGTTTAAATCTTCGAAGATCAAAATACTCAGATGAAGATCCAGTCAAATGTGCGTGGAATTTTTGTTGAACTGTAAGCTGTAATCAAAATTTGACAGTTTTTGCCCCACAGTGAACTTCGTGGCGATTGGATTTTCGTACAGTGTCTCCTTGTAGGTCCATTTTGAACTATCTAGTTATTATGAATTGAACTTTTTGTGAAACTGATCTTGTCTGTAAATGATACTTTGACGGGAATAACAAGTATCACTTCGATATCATTTACTTGAAATCAGTGGAGCAATTATCTGCTATTTCTCGTTTAAATCTTCTTCAACTGCCATTGATTGTGATGACGGAATTGACTTCGATTTACCATAGGTACTATAGGATCATGGTACAGTGAACAGTGATCTGTGTTTAATGAAGTTCTCCTGATTGATGTGGTTCATAAAACGTCGTGGTGGTAAACGTATGGTGGTTCACATTATATAATAGTTACATAATGTTCAGTAATTGAGAACCCATGACCCTTAAATATCAATAATGAAACATTTATAAAATGGTTATGAAAAAAAAAGTTTCCTTTTTCATAAGACTTCTTTAATGGTTAATTAATTGTTAATAAAGGTTTACTTTCCCTTTACTTTAACTTTATTTCACAATTTTTTTTTTACTTAACGTTTATAAGCCTGTGTGCTACCAGGGGAGCGGGGAGCCTGACCCGTCCAAAATCATTCATCCCCCTCTGGACTTGAAATTTTCTGGATAAGGGGTGGTTTGAGAGGGTAGGTGAATATAGGTTGTTTTGAGGCCTCGACGAGGCGAGTTTTTTGAGGTATCACCGCCTAAGATTGGACGAGTTTGAAAAATTATCCCCCTGTGACCTTGACGTTACTGAACTGAGGGATGGGATTTCCACCAAAAATGAAA